TTTTTTCAGGTTATCAAACAACTATAGATAAATTTTTGGTACTAGGTTCACGTCTAAAACTGCAACTCATAAAGAAAGTTGAAGGGATTTTTAACAAGAATAAGTATGAATAACTTTTGTTTTTTTATAGTTGAATACATTCTTAACAGAGCAATTTAAACGCAGATCAATGGAATCAAGCGATACACGTTCTAGCAGAATATCGAGTTGTCCTTCTCGAAAACGAAGATTATCTCGTGAATCGAATTCCTCTCTTGATCGATATGGAATCCGAACTGAAACCGTGGATCAGGATCTTGAGTCACTGGGAAACGATTCGTCACAACTCTTACATGAATTGAAGTCAAAGAACCGAGAGCTTGAAGAACACTTCGACCGCATGTATGCGGAGTTCAAGACAATGAAATCTGAAAATCAAGACCTTAAATCACAGGTTCAGAATCTTCAGCAACAGTATGACCGATTGGCATCACAGAATAGAGAACTCGAATCACGTATCAACAAGGTTGAACAGCGATCACATCCTACCAAGACTATGAATCAAGATGTACCGCGACAAATTGACAATTTCGAGCAACATTCTCGAGAAATACAACCCGGGAGTTCGGATCTCGAGCAGCTCGTTAAAGACTTTGATGAACGCTGCTACGTGGTGGAGTCAAACAATCAAGAAATTACAGAGAGGCTTGATAGTTGTCAACAAAATTTTTTTAAAATAAGTCGAAAAAATGAAGGCTTCGAGAATCAGCTCACTAGTCTTCAGGAACGCTTAGACAGCTTCGAAATACATGACAAGAATATGCAGCCTAATGGAACAATTGCTATTCAGCAACTCGTGGAAAATGATACGCACCAAAATCCATTCAAGACGGATAAAATCGAGTTAACTGATAATATGAATACTTCAAAAGGTACAGTCTTTTACCCTAATAATGACGCGAAAAAATGGGTGTGGGTATTGATATAATTTTCCTCCACACTCATACCCATTGATGCTCTCCTCTATATCTATCTCTTTTGTTTTAGAGCAATTTCATGACAGCAATGATGACTGTATTTTGATAGAAAAAACCTTGTGCACACCTTGGGAAAATCAGATCCCGTTATCAACGGATGAGATCCAATACGGAATTTTCGATGTTTGCGATAAATATAACGTTATTTTAATGAAAGAAAAAGACAAGTTAAAACTATTTGATCCTGAAAAACAAATAGATGAACGTCCATGGGGTGAACTTGGACACAGCAATTTTGCGACTTGTATTCATTGGTGTTCGTTTCTTCAGAGTTTCTTAATTTTATACAGGTTCGGATTATATACTTTATCGTTAAAATTAAATCAGGAGACGTCACAAATGAAATTTGATGATTTGATCCATATTAAGTCGATTCGAGTTTATTCTTTGAAATATGACACAACGAATCGATGCAATAAAGCTGTAGAATTACTTCGTTTCATTACAACATCACCTAATTTACACGATTATTTATTTCTAAATCGTGGTTATCGTCGAATTGAATTAGTAAACACTAATTCATGGAAGATTGTGCGAGGATGGTCTAAACAAGACTTGGATTATGGTGAACGAGATGAAATACAGTTAATAACATGTAGTTATGATGGTTCTTATCTAGCGATGAATATTAAGTGGAATGATCGTGTGAAGTTTGTTGACTTAAGAAAACATGATGGTCAGATGACTTTGATAAAGCGAATTCGTACGCCAGATGATTCATTATCGTTGAATCACAGAATACAGGTACCGTTCGACCAGGAGAAATGGTTAGTTGTCGACGAGCAGAATCAGTGTTACAAGGTATCGGCAAATCCACACGATGAAAGGATCATATTAGTGCGAACAGATCAAGTTCAAGCGATTGAAAATGTCCCTATTCGTTTACGCTTCTTTCGTAATCATGAATACCTCCTCGTTGGAGCGGTAATAGGTAATAGCAGACAGAAACAAGGCGTGTTGAAATTTTACAAAGTTCCTGCATTATAAGTCAGACTTTTTGAATTCAAACAAAAAGCTGTTGGCGCAATTCCTGCAGAATTATAATGTGACACATGAAATAGCTGCTACAGCATTAGTTAATGTCAATTCATAACATATGACACTTTCTCTAATAAATTCCCCGTCCTATGGAAGATCCTGTCATTTTAGTAGAATTTTCCATCCTCCTTTTCGTAGGATTTGATCTGCTGAACGTAACAGAAGATCCTTTTATTTCTCAGAATTTTTTTACTAAACGAAGATCTGAAATCTTTGATAAATCTTCTTGAGGATGTGGGTGTGAAACATATATCCAGCTAACCGTCAAGACGAAAATATATGTTATGGAATTGAAATAGCTTGAATGAATGATATTCTGATTGTTACTAACAATGGAGGTGTTTGTTTTGTCAGTTAGAGACATGGCATATATTCGAATCAAATAAAAGCTCTCACTGTCAAATTTAAAAGGTTAAAATATTAGCTACCATTGGGTAGCCTCGAGAGAGATATTCGATTTTTACGCTGCTTATAGTTTAAGTAGGGTGTGGGTGTGGGTGTGGGTTCGTTGGTATGTTCGTGTGCGGTTCCTCATGTGTACACACCCACACCCTTCAAATTCTAGCACAGAGTACATCTAAATGTCTCGTATATATGCTACAAAATTTCAGCCTATTCTAACGAAAAAATGCATAAGAAAAGAATATCAATTGAAGAGGATGAAAATTTATTAGACAGCTTTCATTCGTAGAAGTTCTACGGCCAACAACAATGATAAATCAAACGAACTGCTGCAATGCATCTAGATTGTGACATGACAATCTATCAGTTATTATACTAATATCAATAAACATTTATGCTACATTACAATCAGATGAACACAAAAGAAATCCATTAATTGATATATGACAACTAACTTGGAGTTGTTTGAATGCATCTCAGTTAATTTTTTCTCCATGATAAAGACAAATTGAGGAAAAAGATTGTGAACTAGAAATATCTTCCACATGATAGCATCAATCAATAATAAAATAACGAAATTTTACAGAAC